CAAAGTTACTGACACATGCTTCCTCCCATACGACTGAGCCGGCATGCGGCAAATGGCTCTGTCAAATTGCTTCCTTCCGCTGCAACTGGAAGTCCTATTCTTCTCGAAGTCGCAGCGGTGCGCCCTGTCTCGCAACGCTCATACAAATGTACAGCTATTGCGCCGGTCCCCTGTCGACCTCCATCCCGTATCAGGTTGGCGGTCCTGCCGGAATCTCCTGAAATACCGGTGCGGAGGCATCGGGTCTTGTTGACTGAGCTGGTGTGTCAGTACGATCCCACGGGCGTCGTAGACAGCCGTAGGCAAGTTTCAAAAGGCGGACGACGACGCCACGAATAGTAAACGCAAAAAACCCGGTGAAGAGGACCAACAGAAGTGACGAGAACGGAGTAAAATCGCCAGGAAAGGCAAGGCGGTGGTACCAGCAAATGCAAAGGATGACAAAAACAGTCACGCCGAGCACAATAACAGACCAGTCGCCAGTATCTGTATTCCCTCCACCTGCGGAAGCAAGGCAGAGTAAGAATATCATACACCCTGTGTATGCATCCCACAAGAGCAATCACAAGCAGCGCTTCATTCACTCATTCTGCGTGCGTAGAAGTCACCAAACAATGGCTACAAATGGGACAGCGCAGCAACGACCAGTATATTCCAGTAGACGCGGAAGAAAAAATCGAAGCAAACAGGAAATGGAAATATTGGAAATATTAAAAATGATNATTCCAGTAGACGCGGAAGAAAAAATCGAAGCAAACAGGAAATGGAAATATTGGAAATATTAAAAATGATGAATTCCATATGTTACACGATAAGTATGTACAATATTATCAGCGCATTTACATGCACCTGAAAATATTTACTACCTGTAGGATTAATTTAAGGAAATACTTTCGAATATACACTTCTAGTAAACGATCCAATACGTAAAGCTCCATTTTCTGTATCTCTTACAAATGCGACCATAGAATATAATCAATTCCAGGATGAACGAAAATCATTTACATATAAACGATTATAATTTAAAATCTTCGTACGGCAGATGACGGGGCGAAGCCACACATGGCCCTTAACCCACCGGCGTTGTTGCAGCCACCCGGCCCATTTCCTCTGACATTTGGTGGACGATTTGAAAGAACTGCGTGGAGAGTAACTCCTGGTGCACTGTCAGCGTCGGCCGAAGATGATGTTGCACAGGAGCCCGCTGCAGCTGCTCGCGCAGGCACACGAAGGTGAGAAGCGAGAGTGTCGTTGTCTGCCAGCTCGCGACCCAAGAAGATCACGCGCACACTGAGGCCTGAAGCATCATCACGAATTCCGCACGAAATGCCCAGAATCCACAAAAAGTGCCCCGCTATAAGCTAAGCAGGGAAAAACAAAAAGATCAGGGTGAGCTGCTGCGCTTCCTTTCTATGACAGTGCGAGTACCTCTGGCGATTTCTTGTGAAAAAACGCTGTTTTTCACCTCCAGGATGGTCGAGTTCGCATCCAACAGGGATTCTGAAGAGTCATTCGCTGGACAACGGGACAAGTCAAGTCAGCCCTCCCAACGCACCGTAAACCGAGGCATTTCTGTCGCTTTTGGGTATCCCAGCTCACTCAATGCTCCGTGTAATTGTGTGGAAGTGTACTGATTTTGCGGGAGCAAGCATGGGGAGTGTTGCCTTACCGGTGAATGTCACCGGCTCTCCCGCGCAGTTCACTACCCACTTGACGCGCACTTTCTCCCCCGCCATTGCTTAGAAACCCGAAGGCTTCGCTACACGCTCTTGTCCTCTCTTCAGCCCTTCTCTGGGCGGCTGTCCTTCAAGATCGAGCTGGCGAGCTGCCTCAACCGATACATACCCCGGTGGCCCGGCCGCCGACAATCAAATCAAGGGGCAGTCTCTGGGGGGCGTGAGATAAGTGGTAACTTCCTACATACCACGGTGGTGCTTCTCATACCGCGTACTGCAATGTAGCGATGTGGTGCCAGAGCTGACAGATGCAGACGATGGAGGTGTCCAATCTCCAACCGAAACTGAGGCGAGGGCTGCTGCCTGGCTAGGCCGTAGTGGACTGCAATGCCGTCAGACAAGCAGACAGGATGTTGTCCTGGTCAATCAGCAGGCGCAAATATTCCGATGTGGAGCAGGAAGTGAGTGAAGGCGTGTAAAACGAAAGACTGCCTGATAGCTGAGGTAGTTGTGACGAGCGCTACGGCCGGGAGCAAATCTGAACACAGCGGCTCCCCACGGCTGTCATTTCTCTTGCTTCTCTTGCTGCTACTTTAGGTAATACTACACAAATAAGTTAATGGGTCATCTGTAAGTCAGTTTGTCCAGATGTCAGCCCCGCAAGTGCCACATGCAGCGCGCGGCCCGTGCACCGCTGGGTAGCCCGTTTTTGAGTCGAAGACAGTACTCAACAAACAGTTTAAAAATAGACTTAATCGATAATGTGAGGGAAAACAACAATGAACTTGCCTATAACAGCTCCTTTTCTGCCCTCCTCTTGATGTGGCAGTTCCATTCCTGTAGCCGCACGCAATGCCGTGTTAGCGAATCGGTGGATACCTGCAGGAAACCTTTCGAAGGATCCCCTGACAACTTCAGCGATAAACGCCGCCCCCTCCCGTATATGGTCTGACCCAGTCAAGCATGCTAGTTATAGTGGCTACGGCTTACTGCAAGGCGGTGCCTAGANAGCGCAAAGGGGAACCTGATAAACTCTCTGCAACGCAACGCTTCTCCTCCTCACAGTTGGCTGGAAGTGCAGCCGTACTGCATGCGGCGTTGTGGGATTTGGACAGCTTCTAGTTTTGCAGAACACTGCTACATTGGGGTAGCTTGAGTAAAGCCATGACCCAATGTTTAGCGTTAGTTGAGTGAGCAAACTGTGCCCCATTCGAGGCACGGAACGGGAACGGGCTACTGACCGGGGCGCATTTTGTGCTCACTTTTACGCAGCGCCAAAAGCATCCTTCGGAAGAGAAAGGTGGCCATCGGCACCTCATGGATCCATTCGAATGCATGATATGACTACGGGTCATGCATTTTTGTTATGCTGCTCCGTTGAAATGCCGGTTTGTGCACGCCGGCGTACTACTCGGGACACGCTCTCTTGCAGGCTCAGGAACGGCCAGTTGAAGGTAGTGACAATTTTCTTGCGTTAAACTCCTGAAGACAGGTGATTAACGTCGGAGGTACAGACTTTTGCGTGTGCACCCGGTGAAGGGTGTAGGAGGACTTATGGAGGCAAGTCTCCTATGGCGGCAACGGGCCGCTAGAGGAGAAGATGCGGGTATTACGCTGTGGAGTGTCGCATGCAGCCCTGACGGCTCTCGCATTGCTGTAGGGGTAGGTTTTTGTGTGATTCTTGTCGACGCTGAGTCGGGAGATACGCTTCAGACGCTTTCTGGCCATAAGGGCAACGTGAACGCAATCGCATACGCTTCAAGTGGGAAGCAGTTTGCTTCAGGTTCGGACAGACAGCTTCTGAATGGCCTGCCTGTAGCTCACGGCAATAAGTCCCTTCTGAAGCCAAACATATATGGTCGGGTCGCTTGGAGAGCGCCTTCCCCGTGCCGTCAACCATCACATAGCTGCCTGACAATATTCGATTTGCTGTGTATTGTTCCCTCCCGTTGCTCGTGATGCATTCTTAGGAGGAGCTGACAAGCAAATCATTCTCTGGGCATCAACGGGGGAGATCTTAAGGCACTTCGCGCACTCAGGAAGCGTGCAGGCCCTTGCATTCAACCCTCGTACGCTGGTGCTCGCCAGTGGCACTACAGAAGAACTTTGCTTGTGGTATGACGATGGCTCTAGCGGACTAGGTGAAGAGGAGAGTAGTCGGCTGGGGAGCAGGTCAAGCTTCTTTAGCTCTAAGTCTTTGGGGACGACACAGATCACTCGTAGCAACAGCAGGACTCCGGGCAGCGCTTCAAGTATTCTCGGCAACGCGATTGCCGTGGGGTTGGCCTTGGCCAGCGGCAACAGTGACATCAAATCCAGCCAAAGCTCCTCAGGCCTTCAGCGGTGTGACCGAATCAAAATAAGTTCCCGTATTTGCGTTCTGTCATGGGATGACGAAGGCCGACGGCTTGCTGCAGGTAAGGAATGTGTCGAGTGATATGTTCAGTCGCCTACGGATGCAGCCATATCTCTACTTAAAAGATAGCCCCCATTATTGGCTTGTAGCCATTAATGTTTTCGCCGTATATCCTCGAGTTCCAAAAAGTGATGCTTGACATCAGCCATTACCACTGCGTGACAGGTCAGTATAACGGGTTACTGGTGGTGCATGATAGCGAAGGTTCGAAGATATGGAGTCACCAGCTGGATGCTCCAGTCTGGGCGTTGGCTTGGCGACCAAGCAATTCTGGGAACGCAGCCGATCAGGGAAGTGTTCTGGTGGCGTGCACGTTTGAACCGAGAGTTTGGCTGTTCGATGCTGATGCAAAAGCCGCACTAAGGTCCACGCAGCTTACGTATGACCCGCTGTACGTTGAATTTGCCCCAAAAGGTGCGTTTACCCTGAGAGCTTGGTAAGCCTGGTAGAAACGTATCTGGCCTCACGTTTTCGTGGTTATGTCGTCTAGGCTGCCTTGTAAATTTGGTACATTGAAATATTCAGTCTGCCAATGCAACATTTAAATTCTCCCCGCTCTTCTGAATAAAGGCTTGGTCCACCTCGTGCCTGTGGCAGAGCAAGTAGTTCATGGCAAACACGGGGCTGATGTTTTACATTTGTAACAGCTAGGGAGAGCTGTATGTTAAATCTGAAATCACATATCTGCGGAATAAAGCTCTATCGTGATAACAACATTCAGCCCGCGCGTATGCCTAATGCAGGCGAGTACTTCATTTTGGTAGGCGTGGACGGCGGCATCTCTTTGTGGAGCTATAAGGGCATATGCCTGCAGCCGCTGGACTTTTCTGCTGAAAAGCCAGAGGTGACAGCCTGTTGCTTTCTTCCATCCGGACAGCGGATTGCCCTTACCACGCGGGAGGGAGACCTAGGGATTGCACAGCTGAGGCTACCTGTAGTTCACGGTCTTTATCGTGAAGTGTATGCTCGTCGGACAGCCCTCTGCGAGGTTACCGTTCGCAATTTACTCACAGACATGACGACAACCATTCAGTAGGGAGAAATACCACGTTATTCTTACTTGGAAGGCTGGCGCGTTGCATAAAGGAGCGCCAGGCACGCCAATAGCCACCATTGTGGTGCTTCACGCTCGCACAGAGTAAAACACCGTTGAAACCCTAGCTGACATAACAAGCGAACACAAATCGTTTAGCTTAGCGGTGAATATGGCGGGTTAGGCCTGCTCCACAGGGGGCCAGTAGATGATACTCCACATAAACATGATAGCAAATGAAGCATTTTGGTTAGTCTCGAGTTGTCTTCAGGTTTGATGAGCTCGTTTACAAGATAGCAGTGTACAAATTCCTGCTGGCTGTCCAGCTGAAGGAATGCGTCATAATAGCAGAGGTTTGCTCGGGAGATTCCGGCCCTCTGGAGTACCGTGAAGTCCGCCGCCTCATGGGATCATTTGAGTGTTCGCTGATGCTGTTGACGGCCAACTCTGTCGTTCTGTGTAAAGGCAACACTCTGAGGCTCCAAGAAATCGAAGGTAGGCTACAACACGGATGCAAGGCAGGCAGACGCTTTAGTAGTTTATACTAGGGAAAGTTCATGCACTGCAAGCATTTTGGCTTACTGCTGCCATTCGAGCGTCGAGCACAGCAAGCGTTGAGGGTAATTAATTATATTCATATGTGGTAGTCCCTAGTTTGCTGCGTGCTTCAAGCTATTTACGAGACCAACCTCATGCGTGTGTGATCTCATTTCCTTAAGGGAGTGTAAAAAGGCAGTGGACGCTAAGGGCTTCCGTTCGGTACATAAGAGTGCTTGGAGGCCCACCTGGTGCAGAGACGCTGTTGGTTGGTCTTAAGAATGGAGAGGCGCTCTACGTTTACGTACACCAGGAACTTCCACTGCCTCTTTTGCACCATCGTGTTGGGATAGTCTGCATGGACGTGTCAGCCGAACGCAACCGGCTTGCAATCATAGACGAAGAAAAGGAACTCTGCATTTACGACATGCCCAGTAAAAACCGGTCATACTCTCAGAAAGACTGTACTTCTGTTGCGTGGCATGAGTCGATGGACGACTTATTGTCGTTTACCGGTAGCAGAAGTCTTTTTATAAAGGCAGGTAAGCAGGAGAAGCCAATGTCGGTGGATACTTGACTGCAGCAATGCGGTGATGCCAGTTGGTTAGCTGCCGAGTTAGAGAGCCGAAACCGCTTCGTTCCTGTGCTGAACTGCTATACAATTTGTATGTAGGTTCCTTGGCTCCTCAGCAACAGTTTTGTCAAGGCATCGTTGTTGGCTTCTTGGGGTCGTACGCATTTTGTCTCTATTGTCGTGAGATGCTGAGGATAAAAGTTAATCATACAGTCTTCATAAGGCAGCTTTTTGAAAAAGGGGATCTTGGAAAAGCATATACGCTTGCGTGTCTGGGGGCAACTCGCGACGACTGGAAACAGCTGGCACTCGAATGCTTGTGCAGAGGCGACCTTCACCTTTCGCGCAAATCGTTCCAACATCAAAAGGACTTCAGGGCTATATCTATGTTGAATCATATGCAGTTAGAGCTTAAACTGTTAGACTTGAGCCCAACACGGCGTCAGCATGTTTGCAAAGCCTATGCTTACGCCTATGTCCAGAATTTCACAGGTGCAGCGGAGGAGTGGGCCGCTGCAGGCCTGCCTCAACGGGCTTCTGAGATGTTTGCTGACTTGCGTCGGTACGCATGCAATACGAAGTCGCGCTTAATGTAGCGCAGGGCACGTCTTCCCAAACCTGTTGACCTGTGGTTGACATCCTCACGCTGAATGTGTTACCCTGAACTTTAGGTGGACGGAAGCAGCGCGCTGGGCTAAAGTCGCTGAACAGACCCAGAAATGCTCTGAAGCAACCACGGACGAAACCGCAAAGCCGTCTTCGAAGGAAGGAGATAAGCCGGAGGAAATCGCAAAGGGGACTCCTCAGCAGCCCATCGGCTCCCCAATGCAGGTGCAATGCATATTTACGTTTCGAGGCTGTTGATCGCTGAGCGGTCTTTGCTTCACATCAGTACGTCCCTTTATCCAACGGCCACGACCACTGCGCACACTCGTAGCATCTGGTAAATGTGCTTCCGGGTGTTCGTAGAGAAAAAAGAAGATGCCAGACATGGAACAAGAATGCAGAGAAGCTGCAGCCCTGTACGCCGCTGCGGGGCAACTACACCGAGCCTGCCAAGTTCACGCGAAGATCGGGGACACCCACAGCATGGTCGAAATCATGAGAAAATGCAGAACTACCGAAGTAGCACCGCCAGGCCAGGAGCAAGAACGTCTTCAAATGCATCAGGAAGGCGAGAAGGAATCACTTGGAGATCGTGAAGCTTCGGCAGCTTTACGTTGCGCTGCGCATGCTTTTGAAAAGTGCGGTAATATCAACTTTGCCAAGGAGGCTTTGCTGATCCTTGGAGACAAAGTAGGATTTTTAAAGCTTCTCATCCGGGCTGGCCGGTGGGAAGAGGCCCTTTCTCGAGCAGAACAGGTGGGTGCAAATCATTCAACCGGTGATACACAATATTTGGGCACGCGCCAGTGCCCACAGGACCCCATGATCGACCTATGTATGGACTGCCTGAACCACGGACTGCGAGATCATGGGATTGCATTGCACTGCAAGCTCCTAATGCGCCGAGCTATTCCGCTACTACTTGCTCTGTTTATGTGATTATCCACACGATATGCTGCAGGACCCAGAAATCCTGCATCATGTGCTTGTACCATGGGGTCACGAGCTTTTTCGTCGCGATCAGCCCGAGTTAGCTATCGGTGCTTTTCGGCGGGCAGGAAGGGAAGATCTAGCTTTAAAGATAGAGTTCGCCTTGCTCGAAGGCGCAGTATCGCAGAAGTTCTACGCCCAGGCGGCGGGGCGGTGTTGGGCCATTGCCAGGGCTTTTGCTAATTTGGCAACATTCAATGAAGAGGAGCAAAGCCATTCAGCATGTGTGAAGGCTTGTGATGAGGCAGTTACGGCCCACCAGTCACTCAGTAAAAATGTCATCAGGACATTCCCGGTCTGCGTTTGTCAATTCCTCGTTTGCTACTTCCGGCGTCTCTCTGAGATCTACTGGGTGTACTTCGTCCTGGTTCGCCAGGCATCATCTGTGCCACCGAGGGCTGCAATGCCACCCCACGCAGTCCTGAGGGCATGCACATTTCTGTGGACGCATGCGCTTGCGCCCCTTGGGCAGGCTGTTTATCCCAAGCTTGCTGCGGCAATGGATGGCAGCGAACCTGCCCCCCTCGCTGGAATCTTGCAACCACAGTTGCAAATCAAACGCCAAGAATCCAGTTTGGGGACTCTGCCGACTTGGCGGTTGCCGCCATGGTGGAATGACGCTCAGGATGCGCTTGAAGCTGTTGATGTGCAGACGCATCTGCGCCTCTGTGGAATCCGCGTCAATCGGCGAGTCAAAGGCATCCGGTCCTTTCTCGTATTGCGCCTGATGACAGATGCGGCACTCCAACTACGTGACTTTCAGGTTTGCGGATAAAAGCATTAGTTTCGACCTCCGCTTCAAGGACCATTTCATCCTCCGCTAATTCTCAGCAGCACAGCGCTACCCTCACGCGGCTCTCTTTTCGAAACGCTTACAACAGCAATGCAACATTGCCAAGGGGGTTTGAACGTTACCACATGTGAATCAACTTGTATTATGGTGTCGTTGCGCTTGATTCGTTGCTTGCAGACAGCAGTAGCAGCCTGCAAAGAGCTTCGAAAACTTGCACTGACGGGTGCTGAACACGAGGAAAGAGCGGAACTGGAATTGCAGGTGATGGCAGCCCAAGTGTCTGCGGTGCACGACGGCAGTCTTCGTGATGCTTCTGCAGCCTTGACAAGGGCCCCCTGTGGTCTATGTGGAGCTGTTGTGCCGCTGCTGACCGCTGAAGCTGTGCCACTAGGTGCCGACTTGAGCTGCGGAAAATGCGGCAGTCCAATTACAATGGAATTCGGTACATTCGCACCAATTACAGCAGTCGAGTTCTCCATGTGTAAAGCCTCAGAGGAACAGTTTGCGGATATTTCGTCGTTACCTACTAAAGATATAGTTTCAGATGAGCTTTTCCTGGCGGCCGTTCGGGGGAACCTGTTGCATCTACGTGCAGCGGCATCCTACGACAAAAAGCGTTCTTTTGGCCCTCTAGAGTTCCAGCCACCTTCGGTAACTCCGGATGTCTTGCTCAACCAACCGCCCGAAAAAGTTTTGAGGCGCACGAACAATTACCTTGAGGGTGCGGCTGGCTCCCGCACCCTCAGGCTACTTCGACTGCCTCAAACAGCGGCTGAACAAGCACTGTCTAGTGCTTGCATAGCGGAGAGGGCTACTACGCGATATCCTGAAACACTGATGACGTGTGGCACATGTTCCCACTTGTTTATTCACCCACCAGCGCACAGGCCACTCTTGAGGGGTGACATGTGCACCTTGTGTTCTACCAAAGGCTCTCTCACTCCGATAATCCAGTGCCACGCACTTACATTTGGACAACAGTGAAGGCGAACCCCTTCTAGTTCCGTTGGGTCCACGGAGACCCGATCACGCCCGCTGAGGCGTCTCAATCTGCATCATCTTGAGCGTGCACTGAAGGAACACCAAACTAACTCCTTGTTGCACCCCAGTGCTCTTCATTTGTCCCCGAGGTAATACTCTGCCTGTCGTAAAATAAGATACAAAGCTAGGAAGTAAGGAATGCAAGGAGTCTTGCGGAAGCGACATACTGCATCACAATGTTACTAAACTTCGGTGACTTCTAACGGCTGCAGGTGGGCCTATTCCTTTCTGCACAGAGGAGCAGACTATAGGAGAAAAAGCGGGTAAAACTGGGCAGATATAAGTGGAAACTCATCTCCCAGCTACTGTACAACCAAGCGACGTAGCTAAGGTTAACCGGTGCCAAACGTGTCCGCAAAGTGCGCCAGACAACCCAGAGTTACGAAATTTTAGAGACTGGTTGTGCGTGCATGCTCTGCGTGTTTTCAAACAGTCTCGTGGATCTGCCTTCACACTTGGGAGAGCGGCGTTTGCCTGTGCAGAAAAGCTTTAGTTACAATAAGCAGTTCGTCGTGCAGGATTAACAATGGACCCGCACTAAAACTGCAGAGTGAGCACCTTGTCCTGCGCCGGCACATCTCCCTTGCTGTTGCAGCTGAGTAGATTGGAATGAGATGCGTGTAGAACATGACCAAAAATCAAGCGCATGCAGTACCAGTCATTGATGGTACGACTCAACAGGGGGAAAAAAATCATTTGGCTCAAAATACTCATGATGTTCCGATCCAGCAATATCAGATGCAACCACATACGACGAACTCCATTGAACAACGGATGCATTTTCGCAAGTAGCGCAAATGCCGAAGCCAGAAGGGCACGTCGATTGTGTCAACCAAAATTGGCGTGCGAACTGCAGCAAGTTAACGCCACATCCGCGCTTTAGGGTCATACCGGATTCGTTAGCTGAAGTACTGAAGCAGACTCGCGTTTCACCTGCAACTAAACTTGGAATATTGATGTCGCGTTACTGGTACAAATTTACACACTCTGCTCACGGCGTACTCGATTCGCCTGCGTCTGAGGGACTGCGCTGCCAAGCTAACTGGGACGTTTGCGCCAAGTCATTGGAACTGCATCAAACGGTGAAGCTTGCCGGGATGGTGTGCTCCAGTGAGTGCCTTTTCCAGGAACAATGAGCAATATGAGACCCACTCGCCCTGCTATGCTTGCAAATGCACCTGCAGTTCATGCGATATATGCCTTGGCGGTAACGGTGCTAACATCTCAAACAGTTCGCAGCTGTACGTGGTGAAAGCACTGATGGCTCACGGAGACGCAGAAAAGGGTGTGCCGAAGCATCCTATGCAGAGCCATCGTATACCATTCGTAGACTTGTCTATGCGGGAGAAATGAAGTCGACGGTTGGAAGCTACGGCTATGGGATGTGTAACCACTGTTCGAGAGGGTGTAAACTGTGATGCGCCTTGAGCATAATATATCTATTTAGCATCTAGGAAAAAAAAGAACTCGCAAGGTGGTCCTAAAAGCCGTGCATTGCATTGCATTGTCACAGTCGAAGCCTGCGGCCCCCAAAAGTTATCGGTTATCTAGGGCCCCTTCCCCTTCCCCCGGCCCTGCCTCTCCCCCTCCCGCCGCCGCGGCCCCCGCGGCTCGGAGAGCTCCCTCCTCGAGGACGCCCTCGGAATTGTTGCATTGATGGTGGCCCGCCTGGGTATTCCTCAGCACTTCTGATCCCATACGGTGCTCCCACGTTCATCTGAGTGCCGGTGTACGGAGGTGGCGGAGGAGCAGCAGTTTCATTCAAATCGCTACTATTCACGTACGGTTCACTTGCGCATAGGAGAGCAGTGGCAGCAGTACTGTTTGTTTGCTCTGCGTCAACTCGTATCAGGTCGAATAAACTGAATGTCACTGGCCGACCAGAAGACTTCATATAGTCTGTAAGATCTTCATCGCGCTCGCGCCGCCCACGTCGGCCGCTGCCTCCCCTGCCTTTTGGTTTCTCAGTGCTGACCTTCCCAGCACCCAAGCTGTTTGGATCTACTTTTCCTAGTTGCCTCAGTCGGTCCGACTTCAGGTCTGCAGCCTCTGTCTTGATCAACAGCGAACGGGGCTGTTGAGCTGGCGAAGCTTCTTTCGGTGCCTCTGTCGGTGACAATGCCTCGCGCTTTAGTTCTTCCCGAGGCTGAGCTGTTGTCTGGGGCTGAAGCGCTTTACTCGCAGTTGCACTAAGCTCCACATGCTGAACTTTAGCAGAAAAGGAGAACGGCACGAACTTTGGAGGGCCAGTGTCTTCCTTATCTGCTTTTATCCGTTCTTGGAGTTCACTGTGCTCCTTTAGGATATGCTGAACTATTTTCCGACGTTCCTGTACGTTTTCCTTGAGGTTAAAAGCTTCCCGTAGCTGCTTTGCCCCTCCTGCCAAGTTCTTTACGGTTTGGGGAGTCAGCAGAGCCATCCCACGATAAAGAACCAGCCCTGGCAGTAAGAGCAACTTAACACCTGGCAATAACGGCACTGTATCCAGCTGCTGACAAAACTTAAGCTCAATAGCTTTAAACGATACACCACGGCCGTCCGTAAGCCTCAGTAGAAGTGTCCGTCTTTGATTCCCCTTAATGCCTTGAGCACCGCCAGAAAAGTCCTCCTCGACGTCCTTCGTAGGCAGTCGCACATCTTGAAAGGATAAAACCATGCACAGCAGTGGTTTCTTTAGCGTATAATTGAGGGCGGGAGATTCGCCACTCGTTAAAGCAGCCTCCGAAGCAGCCAATGCCGCTACTTCCGGAGGAGCTTGCATGGATTTGCTGTGAAGTGCACTGAAGTTACTGGAGTCGGCTGGGTGTGGGGCCAAGTGAAGACGCCTCAGATCCGCAGACAAAACATAATCCCTGACCTCCGCTGAGTTGCGAGCGCCAGACTGTCCTAATGCCACCAGGCCTTCGGACGTAAACCCCACTCCCCATGGCGCCAACACTGACTCGATAGCTTCCGCATCCATAGTGTGCGATGTATGTGGTCGTCGCCGTCTGCCCCCAAGGAGGTAAGGCCCAGAGGGCCCTGACGGTGTGGAACCAGCAGTTTACAATTCGAAGAAAGTACTAAGCTTCGTAAATACAGGCAAAGGCCAGTAGTGAAGANCCCCGAGAATACAGGAAGGTCTCGCTCTACTACTGCTGGACGGACAACGGCTGGTATCTTCGGGCAGCCGCAATATCAATAAGACAAATGCAAGCATCAGTTGAAATATACACAAGGTCATTCCTAAGATAAACTGCGCTAACAACGAATTATGTTGCGGAAGGGTACCCACAAGGCATTACTGCAGCCCTGCAAGCCCTGTCGGCACCCTTGCGAAGGTAAACAGCACAGTTTGTACCATATCCCTTTGTACACGACGAAGAATCGGTTTTAGGCGCTGCAGCAATCATGAGAACTGTTGATCTGTCCTCTAGAAGAGATTTGCTCCCCATCGAGCATAGCGAATCAATTAAGAGGCAGCAATTTTCTCCCGTCGGTCATGCTTGAGGCGCCAACGGGCAGATAGGGGCTGCAGTGGCCTGGGTGCAAGAGAACGTGTTTTAAAACCATCTCTGCAGCAGATTTGCGAATAGTAAACTCAATATTGGTGCATATCGGCTGCACGCTGAAGGGGGACAAGGATGGCGCGCGCTCCCCACCGAACGGCATCGGGGGACTTAGAACTGCAGGATAATGAAGCCATCGGATTTCGCGTTCCGCGCGCGTCGATTGTGATTGGCGGGAAAGATGCAGGTGGGGAACAGGAGCAAGCAGCTTATTGACTGCGCATGGCTGCCTGTGCGTGATCCGTGCCAGTCGGTGGTTAGACAGTATAAACGTTACAGCGCGAAGCGAGGCTCTGCGGATTGGCAAGCGGGACTTATGTGGGGCGTGTGTGAACCGTAGGTCGTGGCGAACTATTCGTCACTTCTCAGCGTCTGGCTTGGCTCTCCGATAGTGGTCCCAGTTTCGCGCTAAGCTACGTCAATATCGTGCTGCANCGTGATTTTGTGTCTGTACCTTGTCAGAGGCTTGTGATAGACCATGTCTGTACTGCCAGATCAAAGGGGAAGCTCTGCCAGACCTATCCAATGGGAATCCTGTCGGTTTCTCGACGTCAGACTCTGTCGAGGCGCCTGAGGAGGCGGAAGAAATTGCGGATGACGACTTAATGGTTGAGTTGAAATTCATCCCTGATGACTCAAGGTAAGGTAGTTGGACAGCGTGAAGAACCGCATATTAGGGCACTTGACAACCAAATTTGGAGCTGGATAATGGATATTATTATGTGGGTGCACTACTTCTGCAGCTGTCTGCAACGACTGTTCACCGTCATGAGTGACATGGCAGCGCTGCATCCGGACCCCGACTCCGGCGCTTTAGATGGGGACGAAGATGAGCTATTTGACGAAGCAGCTCTCCGTAGACAGGTACTGCTTAGCTTATATATACACCAAACAGAGTCCTCGCTTGCCCACTGACGTCTTCATTATGAATCGGTGCATCTTTTTTGCGCATGTGCGGGTGCCCAGGGCTGGGAATTTGTCGAAAATGACGGCAATGACGCAGGTGGAAATGGTGACATGGATGCCTGACCTGCATCTTCCTGAATGACGCAGAATGCCACGGACCGTATCAGGTGGCTAGTAGCCACAATAGTATGCTGCCACGGGGGCACAGCTCGCGTTAACTGCGGCAGAAACCCTTCTATCGTTGACAAGCCGTGGCTTGTGAAAAGCTTCCCGTAGAGGAGCAATGACGATGCTCCTCGTAGCGTAATGACCAGCCTGTATGCTCACACTTC